ACGATTGGTTTCTTTATGATCGAGCTCGGCGGACGCTGACTTCAGTTACCCTCTGCCTTTGATTTCAATCCGAAAGGCCTGAATGTTCTCGACACACAAACCAAAGATGTCTCATGACCCAGCGACTCCTTTCGCGGAAAGAGTCTTTGTAGTTAGAGTACATCCACTCGATTTCTTATCATCATCTGGTGCTTTGTCTTGTACTTTCTTTCTTGTACTTTTGCTTGTACTTTGTGGTCTTAATAAATCCGTGTTGTGATGTTATAATCACCAAGGATTGCATCCATCTGCCACCCCTCATGTGAACCAAGCGCCCTCAGTCTATTAGTTCCTAAAGTCGAATAGGAACTAATAGACTCGGAATCCATCGACGATGGATACCAGACTATGCACGGGTGGGATATGGCATAGCAGGTGCCATGCCATTACCCAAACGAATGGGTATCTCACTTGCTGAAGGGGCATCAACCCTTCGGAGCCTTGAGCATGAACTTTGCGAAGTTCTTTCACATCTTCAATTTCACGATAAATATTTATATATTCATATGTATTGTTGTACAAACATATGACTGAATAACAACATACAAAGAGTTATGAGAAACACCAACCCTCGCCAACTCTCCTCAAACCAAATCAAGAGATCAAAGAAAAACTGCAGTGGGCCTCAAATACCTCTACTGCCGTGACCATCTAAACTCGGTAACGTGCACCTACTCCTCATCCTCGTCATCAAGAGCCATTGGCCGGTTCCTTGGTCGACGTTCGTCACGGAAGTGACGGCTGGCTAAATAGGCTTGTAACGTAGGTGGCGGTGCAACCCCACCGAGCGGCCCACGTCCACAACAGATGAGGAGGTTTTTCAATATCACCGCACAGTGGTAGAATTGGTTCAAGTCATTGACGTAGAACCTGAGGTTGTCTACATAACGAACACCACCACCCCTTAGTATCTAGACATACACATATCAGTAGCACAGCAACCCGCCACACACCTTTGTACTGCGACATACGAAAGATATTCCTGAGACGGCCGAACTCACGTTCGACTGCCACACGCACGCTCGCCATGACACGATTGAATCGAGCTTGATCCGGCCCAAGATGCAGTCCAGCATAAGGTGTAAGCAGAACAGCCGAGTTCTGATAGCCTTGATCACCGTAAAGGATCATCTGACGCCCACCAAAACCTTTGGCATCCTCTTCCAAAACCTCGCTGAGCCCGGACAACCTCAAGATTGCCGTGTCATGCCGGGACCCGATATACGCCTCGGTCAAGTCAGCCGTAATTCCACTAATCATCGAAAGACAAAGCCGACATTAGCTTTGGAACATAAGCGAAGTAGATTGGTAATGGATCTCGCTCACTCAGGTGTAACTACAGCCTGGAATTTCAGGCTGTGCACGCGCTTGTGCCCATTATAAAATGGGCGTTGGTTGTACTTCGGTCGTGCAATGCGCCATACGGTGCCTTGGTGAGAAAGGAGATCAGCCGAAGTTGAACAAATGAACACTGAAGTTATCCTCACTGACCATCTAGGAAACCGACACAGTTGTCCAATGGGCAATCCCTTGTGTCGACCAAACTGTCTGCAAAGCCTTCCAGTACAGCTGGTGGATATTGCTGGGCGTTCCATTGCAACAGTGGACCCCAGTTTTCAAAGATCCAAGCTTGAACGGAGCGACATATACGGCCAATGGTTGATGTCTCGCGGCCGAAGATTTGTGAGAGGTCAAAATATCAAGATGGCGTAGCCAACCTTGCCATGTAAATGGCAAGCGCGGTCGTACCCGTTTCAATCGCTCCGTTTGATAATACAAGTTGAGCCGGAAAGTCACCCCAGTGATGAATGGCCAAAATTTCGTCCGGATAGAACCTCGTGGTGAGTTTACTGATATGTGGGTGCCAAAACTCGACGTTAACACGTCTAGACAACAAGTCAGGTAGAGGATCACCACCTAGTCGATGGAAGTCGTTCAAGTACTGCAAGATGTCGCGAAGTTCTTCCATTTGATATAGATGCCACCACGCAAACATAAGCATCAAGTTCCCTAACGCTGGAGATCGAGAGATGGGTAAACCGTTAGGATGGAAGAGTAAGGAGTTGGCATCCATGTTGGCGAAGAGGGGAGGTCCAGTGACCAAGAACGGTAAGACAAAGGGGTTGAGAATCCGACCGGAAGATGCATGTGCTGCATGGACGTGCTTGGAGGGCAAGTGTCCAGAATGGAACATCTGGATGCCCACATGGGTTTACCAAGGTAGCCAAGTGACATCCTCTGGCATGTCACTCGTACTGGAGATGAACCTTGATGCTGATGCCAAACTCCAAAATCACTCTAAGATATGAAAAGTAGTGATGAGGCACGAAATCATCACCTGGTCCTTAATATCAAGGATAACAGGACACAATAAAACTTGTACATGTATGTATAAATAAATTATACAGTTTTTAGAAGATCTGTTTTAAGAATCCAAAATTCCACCAATCAGTTAATATAATTATGATTTCAATGATCAAAAACATCTTGAAGGTGAAGAAAGTGATGGATTTGAAGATGGAAGGATGACTTACTGGGATTAAGGTTTCTTATCTTTACTGATCTCTTCTGCAGACACTTGATCATTGAACTTTATACTGACCTATTGGTGTAAAAGCAAACAGACTCATTACTCAATGGCTTGTATTTATAAAAGCACAATCCAAGACATGATGACTTACCGAGTTGACGCAATCTTAAAATCCGATAGAAACATAGACAAACAGATATATATCACAGTAGTTTTCATCAAACTCTTAAAGCAACTCATTCCACTCGACTCAAAAGTATTATTGAAGCGAAACTTATCAGACTTACGACGTTCATCTGTAGGAGTAGGGTACCTTTCACCCTTAAAGACATGTCCAAGATGACCACCACATCTTGCACAAGTGATCTCAGTTCTTACCATCCCAAACATTCGCTTTAAAAAACCCGTCTTAAATCAATATCAGATCCAAAGAGAAAAAAGGAATCAAAAAGTGAAATGAAGAGAACATAGAAACAAACTTACGTCTTCTTGACGATTGACTGCTCCAGGAAAAGCATCAAAGAAAGCTGCATTGGAGAAAGTTAAGTGGGTTGATTTGATGAGGTTTCGGATATGGGTTTTGGATGAAGAGCTTACCTGGCCAACCGCATCCACTCTTAAACTATCGACGAGATACATGCGGAATAGATTCCAGAGTTTAGTAATTGGGAGTTGTCAGATCATTGCAACAAGGTTACAGATTACTAACCTTATGATCAAATCGATCTGTAAGGTAAACAGCAAAACCCAAAAAAGAACAGAAAAGTTGAATTCCAAGTCTTGAATTTCCACAGTTCCATTCTTTGAAATAAAGAAAGCTTACATAGAGGAGCTGAACAACCAACGCATTCATATATGCCTTTAGTAGGCATATGTTGATCATAAGTTCCACTGCCAGCCATCTCTGTACCTTTGAGTCTTTAAAAAGAAGAAAATCACAACAAACTTAAACATGAATGTATATAGAATGTTTGGTGGAGAGAAGGAACACCAACCTAAGAATCCTAAACTGTTCAGGATCAAGTTTTAGTTTCCATTCTTCTTCTGTTTTTGGTAAATCAGTTTGATCCATTTGATTTCGATTATTTTTACAATGATTGATAGAAGTAGAGAATCTAGTAGAATGGAATGAAGATAAAAGTGAAGAAGTTGGACAAGAAAGTGTTGGATGATGGGATCGATCTCTCGTACTAGAAAGAATTGGTGATTTTAAAGGAATTGAAGTATGAATGAAACTTTTACTTCGGGATGATTGAAGCCGAAGCTCGGCACGTAAGATTGGTTTCTCAGATGATGAATGTATAGAAGAAGATAACCGATCGAAGTTCTTCTGATGAGGATTAAGAGAATTGGTGGTGATGAGAGTTTCAATCTTCTTCGATTTGATGAATGGTGAATTCTTATTGAGTACTGAGACGGGTCTCAAGCCACAATTGAGAAAGAAGATTGAATGATGAAAGAATGAGATCAGACGATTCTTTTGGTTGAACATCAGATTTGAAGAAACAAAACCATCAGTCTTCAGAAGTAAAGTGACAAACTGGTTTGAGTCACACTCAAGCTGATTTGTAAATCTTGGCTAAATTCAACATTCCTGTTTACCTTTGTTTTTTTAGTTTTCACAGTAAAATTCTAAAACCCTCGGATTCGGTTGATGATCGATCATGGAACTTTGGTTTCACCATTTCGTCATCGTTCATTCTGATGATGTGATCACATGAAGTCTTGGGATTTCTCTGTAATGTAATCACTGCGGTACCAGCCGGACGTTGCTCGGGCTACTGACCGGGTCGGGTAATGGGATCACATCCAGTTCCACAAAATCTAATGGAAAAAGAAAACGTCCAGATTTTTTGAAAATAACCATCATGGCACCACCAAGTCGATAAAACAAGCGAAAGAGAATTAAAACCAAAGACGAACCTTTTATTCACCATCGTATCATCGATATATCAAAAGGAAACTAAAAGAAAAAATGCCAAGTCATGCAATTCTTTCTGAAATTGACGCAATTTTTGCAAATAAAGCTTCCAAAAATCAACCAGAAGAGAAATCGAAGAAAAGGAAAAATGATGATTCCAAAGTCCAGGAGACGGTCAAACTAGGAACAGAAGATAAGAAAAAGAAGAAGAAAAAGAAAAAGAACAAATCAAAAACAGAATCAGAATCCAAAGAAGAAGAGAAAGAAGATGAAGATTTAGAAAGAGTAGAAGAGATTATGGATCCTTCGATTAAGATACTTAAAAATTCAAATCAAGTTGGTGCAATCGATTCTAAAATATCAGGATCAAGTTCAAGTTCAAAGAAAGTTTTACTTGATGAAGAAGAATTGGCATTTCGTGATTCACGTGGTACACGTTAGTCATAACTCATTAATCTGTAATTTACTAAACAAAGATTTTTAGTCGAAAAATGAATTTTTATAAGATTTGGATTGGTTTGCATTGATTTGGAATTTGTAGGAGCTAGGACGGATGATGGATTACCGATTTACTCAGTTGAAGAATTGAACATCGGTCTTGGTGGTGGTAAGTTTTGTTTTCTTTTATTCATTAATTCTTGAACCAAGCTTAAAGCTTCTCTGACCAACCTTTCGATCTCGATTTCAATCATGATCTTATTAGATACTGAGGCATGTCCATTTGATTGCGAGTGCTGTGAGTTGAACATTTCGTACTTGAAAGCTTGTGCTTTTTCCATGTGGCACCAGTAATCTTCCTTGTCTGACCCTCTCTCTTTAATCATACTATAGGTTTTTAAGTCATGAAGAAAGACTATCAAAAGAAATAAAAGATGTCTGTTGTATGAATGAGAAGTATCACTTCTTGTACTTATTCTCACTCCCTGAATCTCGCACTTTTTTTCAAATTTTAATCATCCTATGTAGAGCTACATATCCGATTTTGAAGTTCGACATAGTCGCTTCAAAAAGTTTTTTTTTACATTTTCAATCATACCCATACAAAAGCGTTCTAACGATAATTTTGATTTGTTTCTCCAAAACTTATGATTTGGCCATTGCAAATCTTATAGATGAAAACAGACTATAAATCATGAGTTTCTTGTAAACAAGGAATCAGTAAGCCCTAGTTTGAAACTTGTCACTCTTGAAATATCAAATATACCACTGAGGGATATGGTCAAGCGGATCACCTTTTTTATCATATGGAATGTGTTTGGAAAAAGCCCTCAATGACCTGGTTGCTCACTTACACTGGTACAATTCACATTACCAGAAGATAGGCTAAATGTGCTTTGAAAAATAGATACCAAAGGATATTGATCACGTGTCAAATTTGACAAACTGTTTCTATCTTTTTCCGAACTGAACACAAGTATTGATAGCAAGAGTAAAAGTTTGTTTGTAATTACAAAATTCTGAGTCCTTGAAACACTTAAACATAGTGAATCAAAAGTGGGTATTGTGTAAGAAACCGATTGAGACTAAAAGTTTGACTCAAGGACTCGTTTTTGAAGTCTTTGAAGTCTTTGTAGCTTTAGCTTTAGCAGTTTCGTAGAATGAGTTGGTGATTGCGTTCCATTGTTTGGGATCTGCTCTGACTAGTCTTCTGTCGTACTAGATGAAATCAAGGGTTGAATGTAGGGTTAGTGGAAATGGAATGGAAGAAGGTCATTAATGTATTTGGAGCTCGAAAGACTTACGGTTACGAATCCGTTAATTTCTCCTTCAACATCAGTAGTTTGCTATCAGAAATCAAAAAGAATATTAATCACGGTACTCCAGGTAATAAAAGTGATACTGTGATCAAAAAAGTGACTAACAGTATAGACTCCAGCACTGCAACTATAAAGATCCAGTTGACTTTTCAATTCTCCAACTACTTCTAAAGCTCTATAATTCCAAGTTGTAACATTTGAAGTGATTTCATAAGTTTGGTTCATTGTATTGATGGCGTCTTGTACATTCCATGTGTTCTTTGATGGTGGGATATGACCTATTCCACCAAATTCTCCTTGTGAACCGATTCGTTTTGGGTCATATGGTTTATCTGGGGTAGAATAGAATGGTGTACCACATTGTGGACTGGCTATGAAATTGAATGAAAAGATAAATCGACTTAATCAACTTTAGTTTCTTTTTTGCGGATTTCTTTTTGGTGAGTGAGTGAGAGGTCAAGGAGAGGTTATGTACCATAATGATGGTTATCTGAGTAATCACCTGCTCCGTGATCTGTTTAGGTTCAAATGTTTTTTGAGGTTGGTCGAGTCAGTTGTGTTTAAGGGAATAAGCGAATTGGAATGAGAACTTACCATAATATCCGGTAACAGACATGACTAGACGATCAGAGTCAAGCAGTCTGATTTGCTCAGTAAGTCGAACTTCTGGTCCATCTGAGGGTTGACCCCATCCTTCACTAAGAATGATTAGTAGAGTTGGATTAATAAATCCTATCGACGAGCATTTTCAAGTAAAATATGAAGGAATTGACAAACTTGAAGATAACCCAAGTGATTATAGAAGGAACACTGATTAAAGCAGATACCATGTCATACAATTGTCTCTCAAATTCGGCGCTTTGTTCTACTGAAGGTGAAGGAAATAGATTCAAAGAGGGCATATCCTGTTTATTGAACATGTTTTTTAGTGATCTTAAAATCATCTTAGAAGAGAGATCAGATATAAGTAAATTGAGACTTTATAAAACTCACTTGCCAAACTAAAAGGCCAATTCTATCACATGCATGATAATATAGATCAGGTTCTACCTTAACATGTTTTCGAATCAAATTAAATCCAAGACTTTTGACTAATTTAATATCATACTCCATAGCTTCCACAGTAGGAGCAGTATAAATCCCTAAGAAAGAAATATAAAGAATAAGTTTGATAGAAAGATGGTAATGGAAAAAACTCGAAAAAAGTGAAGCGCAAAAACATGACGTACCATCAGGCCAAAAACCTTGATCAAGTGGACCTAATTGAAAAAGAAATTCTCCATTTAAATAAGGTCTAACAATTCCATTCGGATCTGTACGTTTTTCAATACTTCTAAAACCAAGATAACTGGTGACTAAATCATCACCCATTTCTACCGTAAAATAATATAAGTTTGGGGTTGAAGGAGACCAAAGTTTTGGAGAAGAAACTTGGAATTGAAACTTTGTGTTTGAAGTTCCATTGATGGTCATTAAAGTTGGAGAAGATATAGATGAGTTGGAGTTTATTGAATTGGTTTGTTGATGGAGTGTCACTTTTATGGGAGTACGAGAGGTGGGATCTGAAGTTTTGACGGTGATGTTGACTGAGAGTTTGGGATTGAGATAATCAGCTATGAGGTAAAAGGTAAAGAGTATTTAAAGGATGTATGCGCACCGTGTCCGTGCATGTCGGCGTTGACGTCAAGTTTGGTGATATAAGTCTCTGGCACTGGTTCCAAAAAAACGGTTTGCCAAATACCTGAGGTAGAGGTATAAAAGACATGACTAGGTTTTTGAGTCTGTTTGCCGACTTGAAAGAAAGTTTTTCGTTAGTTAGGATCACAGATGATTTCTTTTTCAAAATATCAATTCACCTGGAATAACACTTCCTGAACTGTCAGTTGGATCATAGATGAATACTAATAATTCATTTTCTTCTCCTGTAGGATGTAAATATTTGCTCAAGTCGATTGAAAACTTGAAATAACCACCACGATGAAATCCGATTTTTTGCTTGTTCAAAAAGACAGTAGCTGAGATGAAAATAAGCGAAATGTGATACTTATCAGAATTTACGTAGTGAACGAATTTCGAGTTAAGCAAAGTAGTGGGTTGGTCACGTACCTTCGTAATCTACAGCTCCGAAATTGAGTAATACCTTTCCTTTCCAAGTGGAAGGAACTTTGAACGTTTTTCGATACCAAAAATGATCATGAGCTTCCATGATCCCACTTAAAGCACTTTCAACACAAAATGGTACTAAAATCTCTTTATCAAATCCTACTCCACCGAAAGGTGGTGAATCTAAATCTAATGTACTGTTTGCTGATTTAAATTCCCATAATCCATTCAAGTTTAACCAATTTGATCTTTGAAGTTGAGGTCGTGGATATTCAGGCCAGGGATTTGTTCCTACTTTTGTGGTCCAATCTGTGTCAAGTGGACCGGACTTCAAGGCATAAGGAGTCACTGTGCTCGGTAGGGTACTGGCTGAGCATTGTAATACCAGACCGAAAAACGTAAGAAAGATCATCAATGACTGCATGACTATGCTGGTGAGGTGATTCGATGATTGATGAATGTCCAAACCAGTCTTCTGATGTAGACGTAGTCTTATACTGAGCTTGGATTTGAAAAGAGGCCTTTGACGAAAACTGATGAGGTAGTTGCCGAGTAGCGTTTATCTGCGCGTTGTCTACGCGTTTAGTATGCGCTTATGGTGTGCGCTTGAATGAAGGTTTGTGATGACGGTCCGGGTCGCTCCTTGGGTAGTTTAGATGGGCTTGAAGTCTGGGTATCAAGACCAGCGGAATTCAAAGCTTTCAAAGAAATAGGCTTCTTTAAGGCTTGACTTGAACCACGAGCTTGGACGAAATAATGAAATGATCGACGTATGATGTTCAGTGGGATATATAGTGTACAGTAGGTTGAAAAAATCAGATGAAAGGCTCAATGAGTGACTCAAGACGCATGCAAGGACTGGAAGTGAAGTATGTAAGTAAACGGAAGAGAGAATTTGAATGTCGATTTATCCGCGAAGGCAAGCTGTACAGAAGGGAATCAAACAGGTGAGGCTGATGACTCGGGGATTCTCAACATCCAAATCCGAAGCCATTCGAAGCTTCTCTCCTCTTCAATCCCTTGATCCTGTTGTCTTGATACATACATACATGGAAACCTTACACCAAGCTGAGCCGGTCAGTGTCAGTTCCCCGTGGATTTTGAAGGTAGTCCGCATCTGGACAGGGTAATCCTGACTCTACGTTCGTTTGTGGCAGAAGTGATATACTGTGTCATCTATGTAGACATGAAGTCCATGAAGTTGATAGACACCGACCCTCTGATTAATTTCCCTTCTTCGTACAGCGTCAACTTGGATGCAGCCCAGTAGAGCAAAGGTAAGGAAGGGTCTTTGTGCCAGAATTCATATGCATGCCAGTGAGGATAATTTGGTTGTCTAGCGGTGTGCAGCACAAAAGTAACCATGTATAATCACATTGAGGAGGAGACTTAGTTAAGCTAGAGCAGACATATGTTCACGTACATCTGCTAGCTTCTGCTCTGTGTTAAGCTCTGTCTTTCACACCCATACATCGGCTAAAAATATCAGGATCGATGCCTGTCTCGATTATCATCAACAATCTTAAATACGACTCATCTCCGGATATCAAAATGGCCAAAGAGACCGATATACATATATGCAAATTCCACTGACGTTTGTTTGAAGAGTATGTGGAGCTCTGCGGTTATTAAGTAGTTCTCGACTTGTGTCCCTACGGATTCAGGTAGGGAAGGCTCATGAAGGAGACGGGGCAAAACGCACTTTTCTTTTGTAGCTTTTGTAGCAAAGATTATAGAGCCATCTCATCATTTCAGTGAGCATTGAGAACTCCTTCGAGTACCCAACCCTCACAGGCAAATTCTTGTCATGAAAATTATGAAAACACCCTACGGGGTGGCTGGTGGACACAATAGGATTTGAGAAGAACGCGCACAGTAAAAATGAAGCACACAGGATAAAAAATGGAAACGGGCACAGTACAAATGTAAAAAAGAATAATAACAAAAAATAAACAACATTAAGAACAATGATATAGAAATAGAGAAAATATTGATTGAAAACTCTAATAATTACATTCACAGAACTCAAACATCAACCAGAAACTATAGAAAATACGATTGAACTAAACTAAAGATATATCTAAAAACCACACACACAAAAAGAATCATAAATGAAAAACCTAAATGAGCCGTCTTGGGTGTAACCAGGGGAAATAAAGGGAGGAAGGGCCAATAAACATAAGACTTGTAATAGGAATAATGATAAACTAAGGTTTATAAGTGTTGAGAGGTTGATGTTCTATGACTTGAATTGAATGGATAAATCAAACAAGATGGTAAACAGCTATGGCATCATTGAAATTCATGATGATAAGACAAAGGAAAGCTCTGACCTGTTAGTAACTCTTTGGTATCAAATTTCAGTTACAATTTATTCCCATTCCATTACTTTAAGAATAAGTTACCAACATCAAATTGTTGAGAATCATTGATGTTTAAGTTTGATAAAGAAAAATGAAATAAGGCAAATAGGGTGATGAAACCTTTTAATCACCAAATCTAAACATTAAGATCATTGCCTACCATAACACAAGTATCTCAAGTCATAAAGAATAGTAAATAAAAAATTAATAAGTCATGTACATACATTCATGTGGTGGGAGGGACACAAAAAGCTTGATTTTGGGGTTGGCGTGCCCATGTTAGGTTTAGGTCTATTCCACTCAGTTGCTGTGTGATTATGGGTGAAAGTGTTGTTTAGCATCAATAATTTTTCTACATCACATCTCAAAGTGCTCAACTTACTCCACATCCCCTATCTGAAAGCCACTGCCAGCCATAGACTACTTCCACATCATACCAACAGTCAAGTCCTCCTTGTTGAAGTCAGGCTCAGCCAAGCGGAACCAACCTACCATTAGATGGGGCGGATTTGGAAAGCAATGGACAGGATTCTTGATGTCTGCTGAAGTGAACACATCAACAAACTTCCACCAGGCTCAATGTCACACTTTGAGGCTACATTGGATGGATATGAAATAAAAAAGATGCTATCTTTGATGTTGTTGAGCTTTTTTTATCTTGCTTTTTGCTTTTTGCGGGGATTTTCACACCTCAGATGCACGCCTCAGCGCCCCTACTATTGGCATGCCTTCAGAAAGTTCAAAATCTCCTGGGCCTGCCCAAAGTCAAAACCTGTGCCCACCACGTGAACATAAGAATAATTAAGATTTCAAACATCAGATTTCAGCCTGAGCCCTGGAACCGACACCCCAAGGGTTCCCCAAACCCCAAACCCTTGGGGTGTGGGTTTGGTCAGGCTTTTCAGGACTTCAATACATTGGGGGCCCGTAGGGTTTGGGGGTGGGGGAGGATCCCGGTATTCTCCTATAAGAACACAGGATTGTGACTTTTGAGCTCCCGCGGAATCACACTTCATGTGATCATAGAGAGCTCTCATGTTTTTGGCCAGTTTCTTAAGTTTCTGCCTTCTGTTTGCATAAGGCCAAGTTGGTGTTGTCAAAGACGGAGAAAGGTTGTGAGGGACTCCAAGGAAAGATTAAAACATACCTTGAGCTATGGATGAAGCCAGGGACTGACTTAGCAGTTTGGCAGGGGCGGGTTTCCGCGGGAGTCAAAAGTCACAATTCTGTGTGACTACCCTTTATATATGGCGGCTCTAAAGTGCCACTTGAGTCACATTGTCAAAATTGACCAAAATGACCAAAATGACCCAAAACAAGCCCCGGTGAACAGGTGCCAACCCTGGACAATGTCCAGACCCGTGGCAATCCTCAATCTCATCGAGGTCCCAGTCGATCTTATCAGCATGTTATTTTGTTGATATTCATCACTTTTGTAAGGATTGAGAGATGAAAAGAAGAGGACAATTTTTCAAGGATCTGAACATCTTGTTCAAATAAGTCGGACATCAATAAAAATCCAGTGAATGTTCAATTTCTCGCCGGACATCCAGCAAAATGTGTCTCAATCCGTGATTTCAAGTAAGGTATGCTATGTCTGTTAGCTGAAAGAGCTGAAGTACCATCAATTTCTAGGAAGACCAGCTGTTTTTAAGAGAAATAGAAGGGAAATAGTAGGTTCCCTCCAATAAAATTGTCAAAAAAAATCAGTCCGTTCAATTTTTATCCGTGGTATTCCTTCAGAATCTGTTTTTATTACTCCTATAGGGCTTCATGATTGTCTTGACTTTAGAGCTCATCACAATTGAACAAGTATAACTATTTTTTTCTTTACTCCACTGAAGTCGATGAGAGTCAATGGCGAGAAGGCAATGGGGAATCTGATGGTTCAGCCAAACAGGGTTGGCTAGGGTCGGCACCTGTTCACTGGGGCTTGTTTCGGGTCATTTTGGTCAATTTGGTCAATTTTGCCAATGTGACTCAAGTGGCACTTTAGAGCCACCGTATTTATAGGAGCATACCGGGGTCCTGGTGGGGGGCATAAGGGGTTCTCAAAGTTGGCCCGGTTTTAAGAAAACCCAGTTGACCCGGTTGCTTTTTGGCAGTAACCTTGTGTATTGAGTTGACATTTTTTGACAGATCACAGCCAAAAAGTCAACTGGGTCAACCGGGTTTTTACAAACCAGGTCTACTTTGAGAACCCCTATAGTCCTCAAAACTTTATCTGCTAGGACCCCCGGCTTCCCGCGGGCTTTAGGCATCCGGGACAACGGTCGGGGGGGCTTCTGAGAGCCGGGTTTTGATTGTTTCGGGGTAGGGCTCAGGCGCGGGGGGCTTATTAGGTATTGGCTCGGGGGCGGGTAGGCTATTACCCGCGTTTCTGGGTCGGGGCCCGAGCCCAACCAGATTTTGTGGAATCCGTGGAACGGACCTTGTGACTTGTCCGCCGAGAGGGACTTTGTTAGGTTTGGGACCGGGCACTTTACTGTGACTTTCATTCAAAGGCTTGCTGCTGGATTGGCAATTTGGCGGTAAGTCTGTCATGCAGTCCAAGGACCTAAAACTTGATATCTTTGTCCTACTTTATGGGCCAGAGTTAGATAAATCAAGTTTTTGCGGGCGAACTCGATCAAGCTTTTCAAATATATATCTTGACTGGCTCAAGATTTGATAGAAAAATATGTATGGAGATCCACAAAGCATTTCAGTTACTTCGAAGTTTCTTCTTTCAGAGAGACCTCGTAATTACCTTTATCCTTTGGCCGCCGCTCAGCAGACCTAGATGACCTTTGCCCGTGAGGGTACATAACTGGCAAGGTAAATCAGATCCATTGTCGATCCTGAGGCTTGATATAACTTTAAGGACTCGGAATAAATCGTCTCAAGATACTCCGTTTGAGCTGAGACGCGTTTAACTGAGAACTATTAAAATGTTATCTACACTAAAACTTTAACTCAATCAAAATCATCCATTCCGATTATCACAGTATTACACTATAGACAGTCACTGGGGTTTTGTATCATCTTTGTCCTATATCGTTTCTTGGTTAGATTAGATTTTTTTATATGGATTGCTTTGATCTCATTGGATCACCATCAGATTTATAGAAACCTCACCGGTTTCCGAAGTACGTATCATCATCGGAATCATTTCATCTGATTCTGACTTGAATTTCCCTTTTACAATTTTATTCACTCATTGCTTTCGCAGTCGGTCTTCCTTATCATCCCAACTCTCAGAGGATAAAAAAATACCCGTATAAATTTCACATTCCTTCATACGCTCACTTTTTCAGTTTTATCATCTTTGCTTATAATTTATTACTTGATCAAGCTAAAATAGAAATCCAAATGTTAATTTCAACTACTCTTATATCGCTCGTCTTACTTACTGCTCGTATTGCGGTATGCGCTCCTCTTGAAGGCCGTGTCTTAGAATCAAGTGATACCATCGCTTCCGGCACGGGGGTCGAGCAGCGAGTCATTCAAGAGAACAAACAAGCCACTGGTGTTGTAGAAGATTGTGGGAAGCCTCCTCCTCCTGGTGGAGGTTGTGCATGTTGTCATCAAGGACCAAGTAAAGCTAAAGTTGAAGATCTCAAGATGATAGAATCTTTAACTGATACTCCGATTACTGCTCCACATGGGTCTAAAGAAATAAAAAATCATCAAGAAGAAGAAGAAGCAAATATTCAACTTCAAGAAATTCGATCTGAATCTCTTTCGGATCATGAGATTCATTCTACCAAACCAGTACCTAATGTAGTAATCAAGACTCCAATAGATCATGAAAGCTCAGTTCAAGATACTAATCCTCCTCAATTAGAGGCTCAACCTTTCACGGAATATACGGAAGAACATGGTCACCATTGTCACGGCGAAAATTGTAACAAAAACGCTCGATCTAATCTTCCCCCTACTACTACTACTACGACTGAAGCGGCTCCGATAACTCCAGGAATTGAAGCTCCTCATACGGATCATAGCCATGACCATAGTCACGATCATAGCCATGATCATAGTCACGATAAAGGTGTACAACCTATCCTTAATTCTCAAGTTCAAAAAGATCCAGTGACCGTTTCTGATGACTCAGAAAGTGATATTGTACCTCAGGCTCAAGTCAAAGGCGCTGGACAATGCACGGGCGGCGGTTGCGGTCATCATCATGGTCCCACAAACAACGATAACTCCGAAACCTTGAGCAGTGCGAACGATAATCATGATGGCCATAGCCACGATGGCCATGACCACAATCACGATCACGAGCACGAGCACGATGATTCTTCAACTTTACAACCTATTCGTTCAGAAATATCAACTTTACCACCAAAAGACAAACACGATCATGATGATGATCATCATGGACATCATCATGGCGAACCATCAAAATATTGGACTTTAGGAAATTCAATTGAAAAGAACTGGAATCGATTTGTAAACTTTTTCAAAAACCTTTGGAAATCTATTAAAAAGAACACAAGTAAATCGATTGAAAAAGTTTCACAGTTTAGAAGAAAAACTGCTAAGAGATTTGGTATGAGTTGAGTTTTAATGTTCACTTTTTGATTTTTTTTAATTTTGTTCTTTTAGTAAAACTAGATGTTAATGATTTCGAACGTAATTTGTTTTTAAAAAAATACTCCTTTTTTGTAGGACCAAGTGGACCTATTCATAATGAAGGTGTCACCAAAGTAGAAAAAGATGAGTAAAAAGTTATCGGGCTTTTGAATGATCACACTAGATTATACATACATAGGAGAAAGAGAAATCTTGTGAAAATATTTTCGGTCTTCAATTTTCTAAATGTAGCTTATGAGATCATCTATGTTGACTTGATATGTTGCGCGTGATAAGTGTTTTTTGATTGTAGTCCAATTTAAACATACATATCTAGAATAAGGGTTCGTGATGTATTCTAATCAGGTTGAATCACTTGGATGTCTTTCTTGCTATCTTTGGTTGTTCATCTTTCAAGTAAGAATTTAAAAGTTTTTTTGCGCTTCCGAAGTGACATTTAAAACTTTTAATCCTTGTGACCACCCTTTGACAACTTGAAGAATGTTAGGAGAAGAGCTTAATTCTCTTTGTCAGGGTTCAACGATCTGCATGACCTATGTAATTTTCCAAGCACAGGAATCTTTGGTGTACATAACTTGTCCCTGTCTCCTTGAGTTTCGAATTGAGTCTATTTAAGTATAATGGCCCAATGGATCAGCTTCTGTCTCAAGCTATCGGATATCGTACTCAACAATGGATGTCACACGGTTCGACCAATCTCACCAGACTTTTTCTTTCGTAACTTCATCTTTAGACAAAAATAATGCTCAGTACTTGCGATCAAGTGTAACTATGTCTGCATGGTAGTCTCACGCTGACTTGAGCACATGGAACAGTCTTTTGAACACGATCAGGAAGTGTGGGAGCTTTAAATCACGATCAAAGAGTTCTTGATCTGTGCAACACCGGTGCTGTGCAAAAGGTTTTACCATGTGTCAATTACTTGAAATTTGAATGAGTGGCGTAAGAAATATTCCTAGTGGACTCCAGACTGTGTTGTGAGGTTGGCTTGGGTAACACCTTTTCGAGGAGGTGGCTTTGTTTATAGGAGAAACAAGTGGTAGTGGTTCAAGTTAACTAATCCCCTCGTGCATTTGTGGTGATGGGACTCAATCATCGGAAACCAAGGTCACGAAAATCAATCATGTCGTGATAGATATGGAGGGCTGTAGGACCTGGTCTTTTCAAATCCAGTCACGGTGTCAGTGAGGGAGCTTGGAATCTTTATGATCAGATATGAGCTTTGTCCATCTTGACTGATGAGGTGTACGTCGTTGAGATTCATTCAAGTAGTGCAAAATTTGATTTCTTTTCAAGATAAAAGTCAAGGAGTCTTTGTGAATCTTGAGATTTGAGCTCTGGAGCTGAATTGAATTCATCAGTTTTTTAAAGGTCGTATGTATGTATTACATAGTAGAAAAAGAAGCAAGGATGAAGAAAAAACAAATTAGTGACTTCTTTGTCAAAAAACAGCTTCCCCATCCAATCCTATTACAAAAAGAAGAAACAAAGAGATATATTTTAGTTGAGCAGGTTATGTATATAGTAAGTTTTTGGAAATGTGAAAGAGATTTATCAAGAATGAAATTAGATCATGATTATAGTATGTACTGTAATATAAACTAGAGAATGTGATACTTTGAATATTGGAAACAAAGAAAAGATGTTAGCAATCGATAACAAGGATCGGAATACGATAAACAGAAACATCGAAAACAAGAAATGTTATGAAACTCTATCAATTATTTCAAGAGCTGAGCAAGAAAAAGTATGAACATGAAAGAGATGACCAGGAGACATGGTATACTAGGTTATTATCTAGATTTTCTGAAAATTATCTAATAGCTACTGAACAAAGATCAGCCCTTTTTCTTCGATCATTAAGTAAATCAGCAATTTGCATCAAATGAGTTTCATCATCCTCATCATCACTTCCAGTAGGTGTATGTTGTGGAGAGTAAACTGAACCTGACATCTGACTCGAGGTAGTAGATCGAATTGAGTTAAAGCGTGATAACAGAGTAGATGAGAACATATTTTGGCGTTCTGTTGATGACTCTCTTTCTCCTTCCCTATTGGAGATGTCGTGTCTAGTTTGCATAGGGTTAGGTCTTTGAAGATCTGGATTCCTAGCCTGTCTATCAAACATATACTTCACATCCATTTGTTGACTTTCGTCCATCATAATACTATCGAGTTCTCCCACTTCTCTTCGTGGATGAAGATCAACTTGGCATCTTGCATCCATAGGTACTGGTTGTGTCTCAAATGCAAGACTAGCAAGGTCACGTCGTCGTTGTAATCCTTCTCCGTTTGATGCCAGGTTCATGGCTCCTGGTGGTCCATTAGTGTATTCTTGATGAATCGATAGACCTGATGATAATTGGCTCCTCTCCAACTCTCTATTCTGGCTTCTTGCCAGATTGGAGGTGACAGTTGCTTTACGGTCGTGATTGGGCTCAGTTTCGAAATTTCTTGAGGTAGGTGCCGTACGAGGTCTCGCACCAGATCGAGTAGGCCGAGGTGGTAAATTGAATTTTGTAGTTGCAGCCGTATGATAGACAGAGTTTGTCCCAGAGGTACTAGCACCGTTGTGATACTTTAGAGAAGTTGTCGGTAAGACAAATCGAGATCTAGACTGATTATGCTGAGGCGAAGGTGATGAGATGGGTGAGATCTAAGGAAGTTGGAGAAATCGAGATTTTAGAATTGAAATGGGAAATGTAATTTCCCAAGGTATCACTGAGATGTACTTACTTGAGCATCTGGAAAAACCATACCAGCTGGTGGTCTCTCAGTTGGCATATTAGATCGGTGTAGGCTTGGCGAGTGCTGTGATAGCGAAAAATCTGAGTTAACTTTTATGAAAGAGATGAGATGAGTCAAAGGAATTCTTCACCTTGATGTTGGGGTCAGCAGTTGTAGGCCGGTAACTTTGTTGGCGAGTGCCCCTCGACTGTGGATTGGCCCGGATTTAGCTATCAAGGTACTTATGGTAGAAGTGGAAAAGTGCTCACATGTTCACTTGCTTGGCGTGGAGAAGGGGTACGTAAGGAGGCCGACTTGACGTAATGCGACTGCCCTCCGGTTTGACCATGTCCCAATAACCGATATGCCTTCTCGGGGTAATATTCTAGTACTTGAACCACCGGAGGTTGTTCTACAGTTGATTCAATAGGTGGCTTAGCGGCTCGCAAAGAGCTCTTAGGAGGTAAGTGGGCTCTACGATTGGGCTCGAGGAGTTTACTAGCTCCTATGGATATTTGCAGAGCAGGTGTCACATTTCGTAAGCCTTCGGGTGTAGCTGTCCTATGAGGCCTTGATGATGATTCAGTACCAGGATGTGGATGAAGCTGAGTATTACAGAAATTGTCTGATTGAAGAGGCGATGGTTGGATCGGTTGGTCTTCGAAGACAGATACATTGGGTGAATCAGGCTGGAACACTCTCAACTCGATACCACAATCGAGTCGAGCGACTAAAAAAACAGGCGAGGCACCTGGCGCGGTTCGCAACAATTCTGGAGTTGGAGGTCGAGGTATTGGTTCATGTGAAGGTGTACTGGTCGAGACATTGGCCGTTCGAGGTCTTGCCGATGCTGGAGGGGGCTTCTTGTTAGGACGTTTGGCTTCGTCTGTAGAATTTTGACTCGTTTGTCCAAGACCTGCTGCCCCTGAGTAAGCAGATGCTTTATCATTTAGAACTCTGGCACTATGACGAGCGATGTACATAGTTTGATCAGCGAGTTGATGTTCGTCCGTGGTTTGTGATGTAGCAAGATAGACTGAAATTGTTGGTCTTCCGAGCATCGCTTTCCATTTGAATCGAGTGGCATTTTGTAGAGCGAGGTGAGAGCATAGCAACTGGGTGATGACGTCCACAAATGCACCTGAGAGATCGAGGTTGCCATCATGGGAAGTAGATTCGATTGAAAGTACAAAGGCAGCCTGAGAGAGCGTATGTACAATCTCGCCCAATTGACCAGTGTGAAGAGCTCGAAATATAGTCTGCCTGTAACCAGAAGGATGAATGGTCACAATTGGATGAATACGTAGAATAATGTTGGGTATTGAACGAAGCGTATCGAGGTGTGCAGCCGCTTCGACGGTGAATGTGAGTGAATGTGGTAAAAGAATTAAAACATGAAGAGTAATTCGAACTTCGGGATTGTTGGTTCTAGGGCTTTGTAACATTTTGCTGCGAACGATAGCATTATTTCGAACTCGCTTGGATACCCTATGGACCAAGTCATCGGCAACACGTAATATCTCACAAGAAGCAGAGACGGAGAGAAGAAGAACATTGATGTTGAAGGCTAGTGAGGTGTCTTGAGTATGCAGGTCAAGTTGGTCTGATGGATTTGACCTCATCGTATTAAGATTTTCTTCAGGTGTTGGAGTTAAATGTTGATGCGGCCAGATGAGTCTTTTGCGATGAACTGGTGGGCTATTGGTGAGTCTCATGCTGTTGAGTATCGAACTATATATAGGCGATCGAAGGCAAAGAAGATAACATTTCAAATTAGAGTCTAATGATTAATCCAATTGATCCACGAGTGCGCTAGCATTTTGTGAGAAAGAGACCTTGATGGGCCATATGGACAGGGGTGAGATATTCTGAAAGGAACGAACTCATTCAAATGAGATAAAATTATAGTACACCTTTCCAAGCTTTTTTCAACTACAAAAAAAAACGCTGAATGCACCCAAGAAAGAGCAAGAAATGTGATGCCAAGAAAATGGTGCTGATGTGGGGATCAAACAAAGAAATGCTACTGTGATGGGTTTCTTCCGAATGCGTCCAAAAATCTCGTATTGCTCTTTTCAGTGAAGGCCCACCGGTATGATGTGGGCAGAAAAAAGTCCAAAGTTGGGAAGAAGCGAAAGGAAGTGTGGGAGTCGGGACTGACTTGATGAGTGGAAGTTGCAAAAGTCGTTTGATAGTCTTGACCCCTGGTGTTACTGCAAACATGCCTGAATCGACACAGTTCAATCAGCTCTTCATCTCTTGCATTCGGAGTCAACTCGCTCCGATCAAGTCTAATGTGACAACCATACCATGAGGGCAGAGGCCATAAATGTGGCGTACCACGTGCTGAGGCAGTATGGTAGAGGTGTATCTGGTCAAAACTCACGACCGGTAGCTTAATAGTCCGGTTCCGTCAAAGGGGCTGACAAATGGTGGAGCGAAGAGTGAAAAGCGGATATGGATTTCGAGTCCGCCACGTATCTTGAACTGCTCACGAGACAAACACGCACCGGTGCAAACACAGTGGAAGAAATAACTGTGTTTGTTTACAACCACCGCTTCGCCGGCCCTTGGACGCCGGTCTAAAGATGGACCTCAGGTTCCGAGGTGGAGAACTCCCTCACGAGCTCGTTCGCTTTTCAGCATTTTTCCATCGAGACTTGGCAACGAGATTGGGGTATGTCCATTGTCTACCCATCGATTGCTTGGCTTTTGAAGGGTTATTTTTGGCCATATGACCTGCTTGACAGGAATTTCGGGTCAAGTCCATACATATCAAGCAAATCGGAGTTTTGTGATCCGATACAAATTCCGAAGGCGGAAGTGAAAGCCCCTTTTTGATCCTAAAGTCATCGACAACCGGCGTTATGGAAGCCAAGTTTGGAAGACAAATAAATATTCATGCGATAGGTAAAAACATACGTAATTGCATCAACAAACGAGGTTTGGTGTTTTGATTTCATGAGTTGTAATTTGTACATAACATACCCAAAAGAAAGGCATGCAAGGAATCAAGCACGGAATGATAAATTATACTCACGACAAATTTCAAGCTCCAGTAATTCTCATTTCTTCAATTGTTGACTAATCTGCTGTTGTGAGGACCATTGGTAAATTTCGGGGTGATGGGAGTTGGAACTAGTTTTGACAGACGGGAATGGTAGCAGACGAAGGGAAGTGTTAGTTACAGATGTGAAATGATGTCAGAATAAATCTAGGAAGACTGACATTAGACAATTCGATAAGAGAGGATTGGGAATCTAATCTCAAAGAGGAAGAGACGTCAGTGTAGCTTTAGATCGAGAAGTTGGTCTTCCTAAATTTCCTCAGTATCTTTTTGTAATCTTTTTTATACATTCATCCAACATCATTATCAACAAAATAGCTACAGTGTGTCTAATACTAGTATACAAATTTTGTTAAATCATTCGAATCGTAAAAAAGTACAAAATTTTTGTTTAATCCATTCAAAGAAACTCTTCGTTTTTCTTTAAAAGATCAGTAACCTATCATGCAACATGCTGCTAAAGTTATCAATGACCAGACAGCTAAATTCGATGCTATCGATGACCTCCTCATCAAGTATCATAAGTCGGGAGGGAGCAACAAGTACGACATGCGCTGGCTCCGCGACCAAGTCGCTTCGTTCTTTTCCCCTTCCGATCCGAATTTCAATTACCACTTTTCAGCAGTGGCGAGGAATGCTATCCAGTTCGATTTGGGATCCAAACGGCCAGTCTACGCTATTTCAGGCAAAGACGCTGTCTTACCGCCTCCTGGCGAAGCGCTCTCTTGCGTTCCCGTCGTTCTGGACCCTTCCTGGTGGCCTAGAGACCTGGAAAACGAACTCTATTCAGCCCCCAAGAGTTTCGTCTTTCACCCTCCAGCCTCGAAAGAAGCTATTCCTATCGTCGCTTCTGGATCTGGATCAAACGCTGTCCTTAATACAGCAGAAGACTTCGACCGTAAACCATCTGTCTTCCTCGAACCCCCTCTTTTGGAAAGAATTCTCCTAAGAGGAACAATCGGTCCTGAGGATTACTCTCTTAAATCCTTATCCTCACATTCCGTGTCTTCAAAACGGTCCCGCCATCGAAGTCCTCGGCGTAGGCATTCTCGGGACAAAGCTTCGGCTGCGCCTCCGAACCTTTCACGACGTGAGAGAAGACCTCCCTTGGTTCTTTCCAAGAGCCAAGGTCGAGGTGTTGATTTCAACCAAATCCCGATCCTGGAAAGGGTCCTACCTCTTCATTCTTCCGGCTTACCTGTTGACCATCGGCAAGACAAGGGTAAAGGTCGAGAACATCCTTCTCCCCCTATTGTTCGCGAAAGAAGCTCTTATCAAAGAAGAAGTAACACTCCTCCTTCACCTCCAGCGAACCGTAAGCGACGTAGAGACTTGTCATCGTCCCCATCCAGTCGAAGCAGCTCTAGTTCTTCTTCCTACGATAGTCGTCGACGGACCCCTAACCACGACCAGGCGAGATCTGCTTCACCAGTCGCCAAAGAGTCCGCTTTGGCTCTTCTCACGGTTCCAATCGAAAAGCTTAAAAACCGTAAAGCTAGCGCTATGTCGCTTATCATTCAGAGCATGGTTAGAGAATATTCTCAACATTCTAAGAAAGCCTTGTCTCTATACAACACAGGTCCAAACAAACCTCCCGGATTTCCTTCGTCCATGTCGAAAGACTTACTGGAATATAAGTACATCGAAATTGAAAAACTCTTTGGCAAAATGTCTTCAAAACCTTCCTCTGAGACCTTCATTTTTAGCAAGAAATCGAAAGGTCTGGACATCTGTGGTATGGTCAAACCTAAAGAAATCAAAAGCATGGCAGATTTCCTTCAAATCTTGGATATCCTTCGAGACGCCTACCATGCAGCTTTTTCACCAGCGTCTGATTCAATCGACGACTATTTCGACTACATCAAGAGCCTTTGTAACTGGCAGGAAGAGTGTGATTGGCGGAATGTCATGGAGTTCGACGGCGTACTTCGTCAAAAATTTTCCGAGTACACCTGGATCACCTTTGGGGATTACAAAGCTGCTGAACTCAGGCGTTTGGAAGCGCGTAGTCTCAATAAGCCAGCTCCAATTCCAGAACACACCCCACAGGCCTCTTCATCAAAAAGATCTAAACAACCTTCGTCCTCTCAAGTTCGCCCTACGAAAGAACAACCAAAATCAAAAGCTAAGCCAAAGAAAACAAAAAGGACGTCCTTCAACTACCCTCTCAAAGATTGTGCAGGCAAGCCTTTATCTGGCCAGCCTTGCAACTTATGGAACACTAATGTTTGCCCATATTCCGACGACGACTGCAACCGAGCGCATCACGTATGCAACAAGTTGGGATGCGAACTTGATCACAGAGGAGGCATCGTCCACAGACGTGCCTAATGCTAGAAAATTCCTTCACAACTTGGAGATTGACGCTCTGTCAGAAGGATTTTCGGCCTCCGTCAATTTTTCCATCACAGCAGACCCTCTGCCATCTGCTCCATCTTTAGAATCCGACATATTCGCAGCTCGAGCTATCAAGAGAAGACCCGACATATTTCAGATTCACACACCCATCAACGTCAGGCGCCTCAAATTCCTCCTCAAGAACCACCCAAATCAACCTTTTGTAAACTCTGTCATCTTAGGTTTAAGAGAAGGTTTCTGGCCAGTAGCCGACAAACCATCTGATTTGACTGCCCAGTACCCAAATCATGTTTCAGGACCTGAAGACTTAGCTGTTCTGATCAAGACACGAGACTCAGAAATATCCTTAAAACGTTATTCTCCTCCGTTTAAAATCCTTTTACCCGGAATGAAAGTATCACCCTTATGTTTAGCCACCAACCAAACGTCAGGAAAAGTGCGTATGTGCACGAATATGAGTTATGGAAAACCTTCTCCTAACAGTCTTATTCAACGAGATAAAATCAAACTCAAACTAGATACCATAGCATCCTTCATTCCTTTCCTACTCTGGCGACACCATTTTAATAAAAAATCTTTAATGTGGAAATCAGATGTAGATTCCGCATTTAGAATCTTACCAGTTTCTCGACAGTGGCAGGACAGGCAGGTGGTATCCATAGACAACGCTTACCACGTCGACCGTTGTGTAAATTTCGGTAGTGCGAGCTCCCCTCACCTTTGGTGCTGCTTTTTCTCTTTGATCCTGTGGATAGCTTTCTATGAGCTTGGCATTACAGAGTTAAATGCGTACATGGACGACTCGTGGGGGGTAGGTGCTCCCACAGATATAGTCTCTTTCAAAGGTCACAAGATACCACTCAATCAGGCCAAGTTCCTCAAATTGTTTGACTTTCTGAACATTCCTTGGAATTGGAAAAAGCAGGTCTTCGGCGCGCAATTGGACGTTATCGGTTTCAAAATTGACTGCGACATAATCTCAATTGCTCTACCTGACGAGAAACGGCTAGCCCTCGTTCAAGCCCTACGGGTTTCCTCGTCCCCAGATCCCAACCCCTCGTCGCCTGGCAACAAATCACAGGCTGGGCCAACTGGGCCATTGTTACGATCCTACATGTAGCACTCGTGACAGATACATGACATGTCACTGAGAGTATCTATTCACTCGTTGTATTACGTAGTTGCTTTCCTTCTCATCCAACAATCAATATACAAACCTGATTGCTTGGTCCTGAACTCCTTCATTCCCACGACGAGCCCAAACCCCCCTGAGCTGGGCCTAACATATTGTCGGATCTCTTCAATTAGGAATCAAGGAAGAAGAACTAGATTAAACTCAGAAGAAACCGATTAGATAATTTAAAGTTAAACTTACTGAACTGAACTGAGACCAAGATTAAGATTACTGAATCATACAATCGACTGAATCGAAGTATTGAGAACTGAATTGAATTATCAAGATTAGATACAATTGAAACTTAGATTGAACTGAAAACTTACTTCGGAACGAACGCCACAACATCACCATCTTACAGAACCCCCACACTCGGAGACGCTGACTCCGACGACGACGAAACTGAAACCACTCACAGTCACCCATTCGTCGATTCTGTAACTCATCTTATTACTGATCCCGCTGTCGGAATGGAAGATATACAGAGACAATTAAATGAACTGTCGGCATCACTAGCAAACAAACGCAACCTTCGTGAACAAGCTGAGCGTCGATCAAATGAAGCCGAAGCAAGACTCGCTGCTATTGAAGCGAGTGCTCCTAACTCTCAGCAATCTACTGCTG